CAACACATCATTAAGTGTTAGCTCTTTTCTATGTGATACCATTTCTGGAATGTTTTAAACACCAAATTTAAGTGTTTAGAATCATAATTTCAAGAATAAACTTCTGCCTCAACTTGGACAACATTATAATTCTTGAGTCATTCCCTCTTTGAGCACACATGGCCTGCAACACCCATATCAATCCATCACTCAATGGAGTTAGCATCCATAGAGTTTACTTTGGAAATCATTCCACTTTGGATGGTGACGTTTCTGAAGTCATTTATACACTAAATATAAATGTTTAGAATTATAATTTCCAGAAATATGTTTGCCTCTTGCTTGGACAAAACTCAACATAATAAAAAATCTACATTTCAACAATTATGAAACTTGATTTCTAATGCAGAAATTCTAAAAACTTGATTTTCAACAAAACTATTTAAAATGTTATGATTTTAAGTAAAACGAATCTGTTTTTTTTTTTTTAGTTTTCGGGGCTGTTTCTTTCTCAAAAATCTCAAGTTGTTTTCTGATTTCCAAAGTTGTTTGACATAAAATTTAAGTTGTTTGTGACTAAACAAAGTTTTTTTCCTTCAACATAATGCAGTCTGTTCAAAACTGCTTTAGCCCCACTAAAACCTGTCAAAACTGCAATCTAATTTCATAATCCAGTAGCCCTGTCTCTTAGCTTTTCAGGGACTACTTGCATAAGTGCACACGATTTTTCTACAATTTATTATGAATTTACAAAACTGTGTATCATAGCTGTTAAAATCTAACCAGTCAGTGAAAATTGTATTTTTCACCCTAGTTAGAGTTGTTTACAGCTTTCGGCCAAAATTAATGAAATTAAGTAGACTCATATACCAAACTTTGAGAATTGGTGTAACATCCATAAAAAAATCATGCCAAATTTAAACTTTTATAAAACATTTCAAAACCAATGATTATTACAAAACTTGTTTTCAATCTAGTTCAGTGTCAAAGTATCCCAGAATCAAATCATAAACAATAGGAGGTGTACGATCACACATTCGCCTTCCCGCGATCGTCAGAAGTACCTGAAACAAAATCAACAACTGCAAGCCCGAAACTTAGTGAGTTCCCCCAAAATACCAACGCCATACAGATATAACCATATCATATAAACAAATACAACATGCATAATGAGCCATCAGTCTGACTGGACCGCCTCACATGCCATCAGTCTATCTGGACCGCTCTCTGAGCCATCGACACGTCTGGACCGCTTCTCAGGGCCTTCAGCCTATCCGGACCGCTCGTCGGGCCTTCGGCCTGACTAATGTGCCCAAACCGGGTCTGTAGTCTATCCAGTCCACCTTGGGTATCTTGGCCTATAGCACAAAGCAGGTCCTGCCTCAACCCAATCCCCCAAACCAACAAACATGTGCACATAAATATCATACGCTAGCATGCAAGTACAGATAGTCATACAGATCTAATAGATCACTAACATGGCAACCATTCTATAACCAGGATACCGATCTAACCGATCAATAACATAGCAACCATCCTATAACAAGGATACCGATCTAACCGATCTCTAACATAGCAACCATCCTAAAACCAGGATGCAAATCATAAAGGGTCGGCCTTGGTGCTGTAGACCCTGTTGATATAGTGAGAAGAACTCACCTCACAAGTAACTCGAAGTGATAAAATCAAACTCCACCAAATGCAGCTCCAAGTCCAACACCTACATCCACCAATGATCCACTTCCATAAATTCCCAAATTACCAAAATACCCCCCAAAAGTTAAACTACTCAACCCTTGGTCAAAGTTAAGGTCAACGGTCAAAGTCAACAGTCCATGTTGACCCAACTCGTCGAGTGAAACTAGCCACTTGTCGAGTTCCTTAAGAACTCAGGAAGTCATAAAACCCTAACTGAATCGCCGAGTTTCCAACCAACTCGTCGAGTCCATGTATGTCCAGATGTCGGGGAAAAACCCTAACTGACTCGTCGAGTCCTCTTACTGACTCGTCGAGTTCATGCAGAATCAGATACGGGCAACCTTCATCCGACTCGCCACTCGTCGAGTTCATGCAGTCCATTTTCTTATACAAATGTTTTTAAGCCACCCCAAAGCTCCATATTGCAAATCCAACCTCCTAGGGAATGGTTTCCACGTAAAGTTGCAAACTTTACGTACATGCATGGTCCTAAATGCCAAAACTAGGCTAAGGGAAAGGTTAACTCAAAGGGAAGTGCCCAAACTTGCCAAATCTCATAACTTTATGGTTATAAGGACCAATGGGAGTCCAGATCTGAAGTTACAACTTCAGATCTTGCTCAATACCCAAAATGACTCCCAAATATCCTAAAGACGACACTAAACTTAAGCATGAAGAGATCTAATTAAAGATAAGCCAAGGTAACGACTTGTTACCTTCAAAATGATGCCAAGATGAAGTAGTGTCAGATCCACAAGCTCCTCTTTTCCCAAGCTCCTTATACTTCAAGCCTCCTTCACAAAATGCACCAAAAGCACTCTTTAATCCTCACAAACACTCAAGAACAAGGTCTAAGCTCTTTAGGGTTTCTACTGGCCATCAAGAGGTTGTAAGAGGCTGGAGGAAAGGACTTAAGGTCCTTTAAATAGGGTACAAATCCTAAAAATTAGGGTTTCATTCTCCAGCTCCTACTCGTCGAGTCAGGGTCCTCCGACTCGTCGAGTAGACCTCATAAAATACGCGGCCTGACCCGCTTCTACACGACGAGTTGGGGGGCAACCAACACGTCGGATAGGTCCAAGAATATGACTTTTAGTTTTTTATATTTTATACCTGGGAGTCGGGATGTTACAATTGGTTTCAACCAAAAATGAGCATCCATGATTAAGTTATGATTTTTCAAATATTGGGACAGATTAGAGCATTTCACAGCAACACGTAAATTGTGTTTTTGAGTTAAGCTAGCTTCTTAACCCATTAGGTACTTAATAGAATCAGTACCGAAGCTGGAAAATTTGATACATAATAACAAATACATATCTTAATGATTTAATGACCAAAGATGCTTCAAAATCACAAAAAAAAATCATTTTTTCCTTATGAAAATCGTACAATATCAAAATAATGCAAGTAAATTGTTTCGATTTCTAGTTCTTTTCGTACAAACGAATTTGTTTTAAGATTGTAGGAATAATATTACGGTAAATGTATGAAAGCAAACAAGAAAGCAGAAAAAACTGAGGCATGTATTTAACACATTGTCTTTAAAACAAATTCGCCCGCTACCGGGTGTTTGTTTCCTAGGATACAACAGTTTGAAGTGGTTCTTCTAGACCATCCAAACCCTCAATAGGTCTGGATTATATATTTAATTCAGCAAGAAAACTAAGAACATGAAATGGAGAATAAGAGAGTTTTTGTATTCTTATTGGTGTACTCAAATGGTTGTATAGTAGTAGTATTTATACTACACATTCTATAACCTCCCATTTAAACAGCTCTATTAATCACAAAATTAATGTGTATTAATATGTAATTAAATTGTAATATTAAATACAATTTCAGTTACAAAGGAAAGAAGTATTAGCAAGAAAGGTCCCTGAACTTTTATTATCTTTCTCCCAACCATTAAACTCTTTTATTTACTTCTTCCAACACCCTTACTTTAAGGATTAATTTCTCATTCATATAAATTCATTTTGGACGTGTTAAAAAAAATAGGAAGAAACCCATTTTTATAAATTGGTTATTTTCCAACATATATATATATATATATATATATATATATATATATATATATATATATATATATATAGAGAGAGAGAGAGAGAGGGACGCACACACACTAATATCCAAAAAAAATAGATAAACATAACGAAATTTGCAAATTAAATAGTTGAAGCGACTTTATCAAAAACTGCATACAAACTCATGGTGTTTGTTGAAGTTGTCATAAGGAGCTTGGGCCTAAACTCTCACAGACAGCTTGGGCTGCTAGGTTTGCTACGACACGACACACCATCATTTATTTACTTACACAAAAATGATTAATTTAAAACATACCAAAACACGAATAGTATAGCATAAAATAACCATTAACTACTTAATTGATGTTAAATCATACAAATGTATCCAAAGAGATAATAGTCAGATTTAAGGATAAGTTAAAAAACTAAATAAGATTGAAAACATTAAAAATGATACTAAATGTATTCAATCTTGAGTGGAATGTTGTTAAAATTGTGATCCTAATCGTAGGATCGTATAGTTTTGGAATTGTCCAATTCCCAGTCTAATACTTAGATCCATCAAAGTTTGACTAAAATTAAAAATGGTCAAAAAGTCAATGGTTAACGCGTTGTGACCTAGCTCATGGTCGCGTCACAAACTCTAGGCGACAGTAATGTCACGGCACCATTCGAACTTCGCGTCGCGACTATTTTGTCATGACTAATTTCATTCACAGTGGTCTTCATTTGTTCACAGATTTTAAAGATTTTATCCTCGTTCTCTTTCAACACTTCATGACCAGTGAATAAGTGTGGAATTCCTCAAATGGTGGTTATAATTGTTTCATGTCTATGAAGTGAAAGTTCATGTGATGGTTCTGTAGGTGTCTTGTCGGAGGTGTCTTGAAGTCGCCGAAGTAGTAGAGGGTGAGGGTGAGAGAAAAAAATGATACATGAACAAAGGGAAGGGGAAGGGGAAGGATAATTTTTGTTTCTTTGAAATATAATTAACATAATAAACAAACTAAAAAATAAATTGTTAAAGGGAAAAATATAGATTTTTTACGTCCGGTAAATGATTTTAGGAAATTTTAATAATAAAAAGAACGGTTGAATTAATTTTTAAAATTAGAGACTAAAGGTACAATTTAAGACTAGAACGAGGGACTAATCTTGTAATTTTTTCAAAACAAAAAGTAGCATCGCTGATTTCACTAACGACTTTAGCGCCTTTTCAGTTAGAAAAGCCACACATCACGCCGGTGAAGTGCGAGAACGAATGCTGAGTGTTTAGTGGTGGGACAACACACTCAAACACTATCACACCGCAAAACACGCCCAAAGTTTTGAGGAAAAGGGGATTTCCCTCTTTAATCTCTATATGATCACGTCTGTAATTCTACCAGACCACAAATCAACTCGATAATGGCGTCATTTTGTTCAAAGTTGTTGAGTTGGTTCCACATTGGTTTGATACTTGGTGGCTTCTGTTCTGCTGGCGACCCATTTGTGAATTACGAACTCGAGTTCTCTTACATCACTGCTTCTCCACTTGGCGTTCCCCAGCAGGTGGATCTCTTCCCTCCCCCCTTCTTGTGCCCTGCTCTGTTTTGTGTTTCAGGAGGTTTTTCTTCCTTATGATGTGCTTATCGAGCGTTCGACGAAACGTCTCAATGTGTATTTTATGGTGTTTGTGAAATTTTTATAAAAGCAATTAGTCTCTAAAATAGTCTGATCATGGTCACTGTTTACTTGTTTATTATACTAAAATTTACTATCTGTGAACTCCAATTACAGGTCATAGCAGTGAACGGGGAGTTTCCAGGTCCAACCCTAAATGTTACTACCAATTACAATGTCGTCGTCAACGTCAAGAACAAATTAGACGAAAGCCTCCTCATTACATGGTACGATTTAATAGAAATACATATATGAATATATACTATTTTTCAAACTTCTTCAGTATTGGAAACGGGATCTTACGTTACGTTTGATAGGCCTGGAATAGAAATGCGTCGATCTTCTTGGCAAGATGGAGTTCTGGGCACTAATTGTCCCATTCCTCCAAATTGGAACTGGACATACCGATTTCAAGTCAAGGATCAAATCGGTAGCTACTATTATGCTCCAAGTACTGATTTCCAAACAGCAGCAGGTGGATTCGGTGGTTTTGTTATCACAAATCGCAAAATTATACAACTCCCTTTTAATACCCCCGATGGAGATATTATCATCACCATTGGTGATTGGTACACCAGAAACCACTCGGTTAGTATATCGTTTTATATTAAAAACCTCTCACTCACATGTTTATACATCTAATTACTTTTTGATTGTCCTCTTAAGGCACTCAGAGCTACTCTTGATGCTGGAAAAAACCTTGGTATTCCAGATGGAGTCCTCATCAATGGAAACGGACCTTTTAAATACAATTCCACTGTTCCCGATGGCATTAACCACACCACAATTAATGTTGATCAAGGTAAAACTTATCGAATTCGTGTAATCAATGTTGGAGTCTCGACTTGTTTGAATTTTCGAATCCAAAGCCATAATTTGGTACTAGCGGAAACCGAGGGACATTATACAACCCAACAAAACTATAGCAGTTTCGATGTTTATGTGGGACAATCTTACTCTTTTCTGGTCACCATGGATCAAAACGCAACCAGTGATTACTACATCGTTGCAAGTGCCAGATTTGTAAATCAATCAAATTGGCAACGAGTTACAGGAGTCGCTATTTTGCATTATTCAAATTCTCAAGGCCAAGCATCCGGCCCTCTACCCAATCCTCCAAACGAAGATTCTGAGTATTCGTTCGCGTTAAATCAAGCACTTTCCATCAGGTATATATATGAATCCACTAATCAGGTTAATTTGTTATGATTCGAATTAATTATCATAATCATTTGTACTTTATACAGGATGAATAATACGGCTAGTGGGGCCCGGCCAAACCCGCAGGGTTCGTTTCATTACGGGTCGATTAATGTAACGGATACGTATATGTTACGAAGTGTTGAGCCGATGATGATTGATGGGAAAATTCGTGCTTCTTTTAACGGGATTTCGTTTGGGAATCTTGATACACCGGTGAGGCTTGCAGATGATCATCATGTGAAGGGTGTTTACAAACTTGATTTTCCGAAAATACCCTTAAACGGACCTCCACGGGTGGGAAGATCCATCATCAATGCTACGTATAAAGGGTTTGTGGAAATCATATTGGAGAACAATGATACTGTAGTTCAGAGCTTTCATATGGATGGTTTTTCCTTTTTTGTTGTCGGGTATATAATTTTTTAATTAATCGTCTTTTTTTTTTTTTTTTTTTTTTGAAAGATTTGGTGAAGATGTGAATGACAAAATTTATAATATATTTAGAATGGCTTATGGGAATTGGACAGAAAACAGCAGGGGTTCTTATAATCGATGGGATGCTATTTCACGCTCTACAATCCAGGTCTGAAATTTGTTTATAAAAAGATATTGTATATATTAAATGTAATATATTTATATAATATGTTGATTTATAGAACAGGTTTTTCCGGGAGGATGGACTGCGATATATGTTTATCTTGATAATGTGGGAGCTTGGAATCTTAGAACAATGAATCTTGATAGATGGTATTTAGGTCAAGAAACTTATATCAGAATCATAAATCCAGAAGATCATCACCAGAAAACCGAATTACCTGTGCCTGATAATGCATTGTTTTGTGGTGACCTTGGACACTTGCAAAAGTATGTATAATATATCACACTTTTTTTTTTGTTCCTGAAGATTATAATATATTAAGTTAACGAATGCCTTAATTTCTGTTTGCATTGTTTAGGCCTCAAAGAACATTGTCTACGGCAGGATCAAACATCCAAGAACCAGCAAAGTCAACTTTTTTGTTGTTGATCATGGGATTTTCAGCTGTTGTTTATATGATTATATGATTTAAGACTGTTTAGGTTTTGTTCACAGCTGTTGTTTATATGATTATATGATTTAAGAATGTTTAGGTTTTGTTCAAAATGTAGATTTTTCAGGTTATTAGAATGGTAGTGGTACTGCAGTCCCAAGAGAGGTGGTCTTATTTCTTTATTTGTTGAATGCTATATTAGCAGGATGAAAATATTTTTTTATTGACACATCTTGAATATTGTTTTGGTTGAATGTTAGTAAATTCAGTTTACATTTTTATTTGGAGATAATCACAAAAATGGGTGGTATTATATTATACTATTATTTAACAAATGAACTTTTTATTTAGAAATAAAACAAAATGACTTTTTTTTTTAACAGCGGAATCACATTAAAACGAAACTAGCGAGACGCTAGACAAGTTACAACATACAAATAAGGGAAACAGGAGAATTACACCAGTCAAACCAATTTAAAGAACTAAACCTCCCTCTATATTTCAACAAATTGAAAGAGATTAACTGAATATCATCGGCTGTCTTCATTGGGCTGATCTTGAAACTTTTGAAAATTAAAGCATTTCTAGTCTTCCATATGCTCCATAAATCCGAATATACGAAGGCCCATAGCAATCTCTTCCTTTTTTTATTCAACACCAATGTCTTTACGACCCCCAACATGTCTGAAACATTCATAGGAGCAGATTTCAATAACATCGACCAGTTACAAAACCAGCTCCAAACCTTTTTTGCAAAACTACACTTAAAGAACAGATGCTCGACATCTTCCTGTTCAGTACCACAGAGCGGGCAAAGATACGATGGCAAAGTCACACCTCTAACAAGAAGGTTGTCGGCAACTGTGATCCTATTTAAACATAAACGCCAAACAAAACAATTTACTTTTAGAGGAGCCCAACCCTCCCAATGAAAAGGAAACGTGTTTGAGACCTCTTCCGCAATAGCCATCAAGTTCCGCAAACTTTAAACTGTAAAACCACCCGTCTCGTTACCCTTTCCAAATCCACGAATCATCTATGCTTGTCAACACCACACCAGCAACTTTGTTGTTTAAATTTGATAAAATTGTTGCCTCCCTTCCTCTCCTTAGATTTCTCGACCACTGCCCATGAATTCCATCTAGACCTTTGTTTTGAATTCTGTTACTGACCATGCAATTTTTCTGCACTTCAATGCGATAAAGTTCCGGAAAAACATCTTTCAACACTACACCGTCACACCATTTGTCCTTCCAAAAGTAGGTTCTATTTCCCGCTCCAAGACGCCTTACAAACAAGTCTTCCAAGTTAATTCCCCAATGTTTCATATCTTCATTTAGCTTGGAAATAACAAACCACACTCTTGGGAGACTAGCTTTGGCTAATGGCTTGCCATCAATACAAGAGACATTATGCCAAGCTTTAATGCAATTCGTCCAAAGACTATTCACTTCAAATTTAAACCTCCACCACCACTTGATTAAAAGAGCCAAATTCAATGACCGGAGACTCCCAATACCAAGACCTCCTTTTCTTTTCGGTTTAGTCAAAGTGTTCAATGCTACCCAATTTATCTTCCTTTTATTTTCTTTCTCCCCCCATAAAAACTTTCTTCTAATACTTTCCAAATTGTCAATTACTTTTTTCGGCGCTTTGAAAAGAGAGAAATAAAATAACGGAAGACTACTCAAGACAGATTTAACAAGGGTAAGCCTTCCCCCAAACGAGAGATTATTGGCTTTCCAATTCGATAATTTATTTTTAAATTTATCCACAATTGGTCTCCAGTGCTTGGCAAGTTTCATATTAGCTCCTATCGGGAGCCCAAGATAAGTAAAAGGGAATTTACCGGGCTCACAACAAAGAATGTTAGCCAATCTACTAACCTCCATCTCCTCTACACCTATCCCAAACACTTTGCTTTTGTTGAGGTTCACCTTCAACCCTGAAGCAGTATAAAAACATCTCAAAAGACGACTGAGATTAACAAAGTTCATCTCGGACCACTCGCCGACAAAAGTGACATCATCCGCATAAACTAAATGAGATAAAATGGGCCCCCTATTTGTGAAATTCTTATAATCATGAAATTCATTCTCACATACTTGAAAACGCTGTGCTGAGATTTGACAGAGTTGCGAAGTTCGAAATAGTTATGAAATATGCTGATTTTCTTTCTATAAAAGAAGACTAAATTTTATGATCAATTCACAACTCGCATTCCACATTATTTCCACCACATTTTCTATTTCTGATATCATAGTTTTTCAAAAAGTCTGCAAGCAACCTTAAATTCTCTCGACTCCAGTTGAAATCAAGCACAGGGCGAAGATGCAAGTCCAGGATTCGATGATTTAGTGTTGTTCTTCGTTCTAATTTTTAACTTTTTTTATGTTCTGTACTACCCTGATGTCTCTAGCATCTTCCTAGGATTTGTTTTTTTTTTTTTTAAATATAATCGTTGTTCAAAAAATAAAAACTCCTAATCGATTCAGTAATTATTATTCTACCAACATAAATTTTCTTAAAAGTTGTCTTGAGATTGTGGGATGAATACGGATCTATGGGTACAAGAAAACAGTAAAATATGATGATAAGGTCTTCTCGTAGCAAACACCTTAATAGAAACCTTATAATTCCATTCCTTAATCATTTGTTTAATTATAAAATATTAAGAAGCATGCCCACTGCCCATTAAAGTTAACCCCTTTTTCGAACAACTTTTGAAATCATGTGTAACCTTGTCTTCGCATGCTTATCTTACTAGTAACGAGGAAATAATTTATAAGTTTTTTTGCCCAAATTCCATGCATGTTTACCCATTTTTTGAAATCACGTGTAACCAATATATATTAGATGGATGTAAATTTCAATCAGTTATGCGTATTTACTTTTAGTTATATTCCAAATATAACGTTTCTCCTTTATATCAACCAAGAGAATTGTAACTTCGGCACTCGTGATATTTGCATGATTTATGTAAAGAACTTGTTGGGTATAAATCAACGAAATTTTGGGTGTTTTGGTTAACTTTCCCCCCCTGAATTGAAGTAAGTCTTGTCTCCAAAGAATTAGGAGAAACAACATTAATGATTTATGTTGGGTGTCTGGAAACTTCATTGCTTTAACAAGATTCCCTCAAGATTTTGACTTCCCCACCACCCACACATATACATGATTTATATATACACAGACACACAAACATTCTTTGATACATTTCAATTCTCTTTCGGTTTTGGACCACTCTTTTTGGCTTACACTGTACAGATCTAGAAGCTGGTGATCGAATAATGGTTAGCATGCAGTCATTGATTCATCTTTAATTTATGCATTTTCATCAGTCTCCTGCTGGGTGCATGCATGCACGTTTTTTTCGTCACCACCTTCATCAGTAAGCCACAGCTGATATACTTCTGCATGTACTTTTTTTTTAATCTTATAGTGCGAACTATATGTTTGTGTATTATTTAATGAATTACTGTAGACTTGTTGATTGATTGTCTACATTAATTAATTGGACTATATGTTTGTGTAATTGATTGGCGTAAATGGTGTAATTGCCCGAAAATTGAATGTCCTAGGTGTTGTAATTAATCCTATCCTCTCGATCCCTAGCCTTTTCTTTAAATATAAGTTTCACCTTGTTTTATTTATTGACAGATACTTATGTTTTGATGCCGGCACTTGGCACATGGACATTTCCCATAGTTTATTGGGAAATGTATGACTAGAACTAGGGGTGTAAGTGAGCCGAGCTCTTGGGATCGACTCGTTAAAAGCTCTACTCGAGATCGAATTAAACGAGTTTGAGCCGAGTTTGAGCCTAAATATTAGGCTCGTTTATTAAACGAGCTCGAGCCGAGCTTTATTTAGTGAGCTCGTGAGCCTAAATGAGCCTATATATAATATATTTTTTATATATATTAAAATAAAAAAATATTTAAGGAATTAGTGATGTAGGGTATTAGTAAACGAGCTTCTTAACGAGCCTAAGATACAAAACAATACAAAACAACTAAGATACAAGTTTTAAAACACATGGTATAAGAGAAAATGAGAGAGAGAAAGTAGAGAGAGAGGATGAAGTGGGTTAGTGAATCCAAATAAACAACCCGCTGAAGAGGAAGTGATTCCGGCGGTAACTCTATTACTAATTAAGATTTTACTTTGATTATTTTGTATTTTTTTTTAATTGAATGGGTTGAGTGGATTCAAAAAGATAGAGTTTTCATGTGTTGTGGGTTGAGAAAAATGAAGAAAAATAAAAGAAAAAAACTGATGTGGCTGTGGATTCAGTGGGTTGGGAGGGAATGACTCCCTCCTCCCTCATACAAAAAATGAGCCGATCTCGAGCTCAAGCTGAGTCTGTAGTGAATCGAGTCGAGCTCAAGCGGAGCCTGTATAATTTTACACCCTAACTAGAACAGTAGAACCTGAATCCGTAAATTAAGGCTTATTTGAATTATTTGGGACTTGTGTCACGAATTTGTCATAATAAGCTTACCTTGCGAGTTCTTTCGTTAGTCAGCCTAAATTGGACCATGGTAAAGCAAAATAAGACCTATATTTATATTTGAAGTCGGGCCACAACATGAAGAGACATGAGGATGAAAAGTTATGTATTCAAATAGACATTTTTCCAAAATGCATGTTTACACATAAGTTTCTACGTCACAACTCAACTACTAGAACAAAGAAGTACCTTCAAGATCCTTTCAGCATATATATGTTCTTAATAATCTTGAGGGTTTAGGATGTTCCTATAATTTTTTAAAAATTTGAGTCGAGCTAATTTTATGCACGAGCCTTCATGATATATAGTCGTGCCACACTGCCACTAATTACCTTCGTTTTGAAGGTTGGGGTAAAAGAATCCAGAGAGAATCTTTTTGTCACAGCGCTACAGAAAAAGGATATGAAAAGTAACTATTCTATAATGTCTATGATCTGCCTTCAAAGGAAAGCTCTCTTGATTAATTATAAGCATCCCCCACCAACTCACTCCCTATATCTGCCCATGTATTGTGGCAAACTTCATCTCTAAGCATATATATACAGCATTTCTTTTTTAAAATAAGCTATATCTAAAGTATTAGTTAATATATGTATGTACATTAAAGATTTAATTAGCTACATATATGTTCTTGCATGAAAACATTTTATTTATTGAAAGAGGTCTTAAATCATGCATTCATCCTTCTAAACTTCATATAGCAGATGTTTCTTTACCCGTGGAGTCACTCATGTATAAGTAGTTGGAATTTGTTAGAGATGTGAGAAAACAGGGGGGACTGGTTGGGAAGCTGTTTCAGTTGATTCGTGATCATTGTTGAGCGAAATAGGGTAGGAATTTGATTTGGAACTCTTGGGTTGAAAATCCATTGTATTATACCATGTAATTCCAACTTCTTATTGTTTTTAATTGAAGTCTAGCTTGTTTTTAATTGAAGTCTAGCTGTTAAAAAAAAGTTGATTCATGATCAAGATTCTTTTTGTTCGTTTTCTTAATTTCCTCAAATATGAACATAAAAACTGTTTTTAGACACAATCACAATTCTTTTTGAAAAATCAGATATATTCCTACTTTTTTTCTTCTACTATCCTCCTACACATTTAAAATTGTGATATTTATCATATTTAATAAAATTAATAAATTTTTATTATATTTGTCATCATCTAAGAATGGTAAGATAATGGGTAAAATAATAAATAGGATGATATTTAATTTGTTTTTTATTAGAATAATCTAATAATGTTGTAAATATTTGAAGATATCTTGGCGATCCTTAAACTGTTTGACAAATGCCTTTTTTTTTTTGAACCGACAAGTTTTATTAAACACAACCTAACAAGTGACTAGAGCTAGGAAAAGGAAAAACATACAAAGAAAAGATACAATATGTTACTCAAAATGGGCAACAACTCCAACCCGTCCACGAATACTTTCCGAGTTTACTCCTATGCTTAACCCACCCTTACACCAGTTAAATTATTGTATGTCGTCTTTGTTGGAGAAGAGATAATATTTTAAACATCTTGTCGTTTTTCGCCTTCCATATACTCCAAATTGAAACGTATATAATGGCTAGCAATATCTTCTTTTTCTTTGGACAATGGCCCCAATTGGCTGCAAAACTGATGTAATCGCATACATTTGATTTTTTTTAGTCGAGAATACAAAACCACTTGAATATCCAATCCAATACTTTCTGAGTGAATGGGCATGTTACAAAGAGATGATTAGAGGTTTCGATCTCGCTGGAGCACAAATGACAAACCTGTGATGGAATATTTGCACCTCGACGACTGAGTAGGTAGGAATTCGGTCTAAACATGCTCTGCAAACAAAAATAGAAACTTTTATCGGGGCCATATTGAACCATACCATTGTGATAGTTGTCGTGATGGTAAGCTTCGAGTCAATCAGGTTTCTCATAATATTGACGTAAAATTTGCCATCTGGTGATTTATTAAATTTAATAGTGTCGATTTCTTGTGAAGGGACGAAACTGCCAACTATTGAACGGAGGTTTGATAGTCTTTTCCAACATCCAACGATCCCATTTGAATTGAATCTTTCAGCAACAAGTACTGATTTAGGTGTTGTTTGTTTTTTTGAAGCCAAAATGTCTGCAGTCTGCGGACCACATCTGTAAGCATTTGCGGCAGAAGAGGTGGACTAAATGTCTGCAGTCTGCAATAAGAAGACTGTTTGTTTTTAACATCTGCAGCTGTTGAAATAAATTGATTTTTCAAACTTAATTTCATATCATAAACATTAAAAATGCATTTTCAGCAAAAAAAGAAAAAAAAAACTACACGGTGGCCCATGTTTTTTTTTTTGTTTAGGTTAAAATGTGGTCTGAAGATCTTTGAAGACAGTGGTCCATGTCTGCGCCAGGAAGACTTCGCACAGACGTTTTTTGATCTGTGCACTTCCAAAAAATAAACACTCTGCGAGGGCATATGTCTGCGTGGCGCTGACAAAAATGGTTGCACAGATCTTCAAAAAAAACAAACAACCCCTTACACTTGTCCAGATTATACAATCTATGGAACTGAGTGGCCAGTGGGTCCGATTCTAGCCATTTATCTTGCCAAAATAAAATATTCTCTCATGTATCATAGACATGAAAAATAGATTGTCAAATTCCAATACGAGATTATTCATATCATCTCTAAACTTGACTATGTTGCTCCAAATGCCAGAAAAAGTTTTTTTGCATGCCTTTTTAGTTAAAAATTTTAACCATTTAATCAGTTATCATTAATTAATATATATGCTTTTGTTTTATTTTGGAAAACCATATTATAAATAGTGAATCACCATGGTATCATTGGACGGATGGTAAAAGCTTAGCACGTCAAATGCGAGCATGACATTAAAAATTATTAATTGGTGAACCTAAAAGTTTTTTTATTAATTAAATAAACATCAGTTTAAGTGCATGCAGCTGCCAACTATAGCAAAAACATAATGAAGCCCATTACACATAACAGACAATGCTGTGATCCCAAGTAATCATAAAATACAGCAGCACCCCCCTTCTCTATTTCTTCGATGGTTTTAGTTACAATAATACCCATCAAATAAGCTAATTGAGAGTGCTAATCAAGAGGCATAATACTCTATATAGGCTAGGTAAAAGAGTTAATTAATAAGGTCGATCATACATGTACCACTTTATAGGTCTTTATTATGTACAAGAATTAAGAAGAGTTAATAATTTCAAGGAAAGAAGGATATTAATTAATATTCCATCATTTCCATAGATCTATTTGGCAACTGGAGATGGGATTTGATGCATCTTCTTGCAATACTATTTCTTCTTCTGCATTTGTGTAGGCTTGTTCATGATTTCCCTTGATCGAAACATGATCGCCTTCGTTAAGTAATTGTGATGCAACAAACTTGTCAAGAACACGCCAATCCGTCATTTGATCATTAAAGTTTTGGTCTTGATGATGTTGTTGATGGATGTTGTTATGGTGTTGAGTGAACAAGGTAGGCTCTAGATTGATGCTTCGTTGGTTTATGTCGATACCATAGTTAATGGGCATTGAAGAATTGCAGGTTGGGAGAAGTTTTGGACTCTCTAGATGAGGGAGTGGGAGACGATGGCCTGGGGTAATCTGGTAATTTTGCAGCTGTGAATCTAGTTCTTTCTTGCAAGAACCATACGGGTATTGGTAATTACCAGTGTTACCCAAGTTGGATCGGGTGTTGTTTTGTGATGGTGAGTCGATTTCAGGCATGAATGAGACTTGATGATCATCGTACCAGATTGGTTCATGCTCGCTTGCTCTCCTGATCATAGCGGGTAGTCGTTTCTTGAAAACCCTACATACCACCCACCCTTCTTCCTGTTTTCAGATAAAAGAGATTGAATTGAATAAATTAGGCATTAGTGATTGGTTACATATGATCGATGATGTATTACATCCTCATTGGAAATCTTGGATTCATGACTAATTAAGACTATTTCTTGTGGTATAATGAAACTTGCCTGTGTCGTGGTTGCGTTTTCATCTGTTTCAAGGCGATACTCGTGCATGATCCAATCCGATTTTAGTCCATTAGGGGCTCGGCCTTTATAAAACACCAACGTCTTTCTCATCCCGACCAACTCATGCTTCGAGTAAATCGCTTTATCCCTTCCTGTTGCCTTCCAAAATCCAGCTGCAGTAGCTCTATTTGTGCGGGAACCTGTTGGGTATTTCTTATCTTTATGACTAAAGAAATACCAATCGTTTTGTTCTTCTGTACCTAGTCTGCATAGCTCTATATAAGTTTACAAATTAATTAGGATCTTTCAAGCAAAAAATAGTTTCTGGTGCGAAATCAACTAATTTGTGCACGATTTTAGTGAATAAGTGTGTTGATAAGAATTAAGAAATTTCAAGCTAGATAGTATATATAAAAATGCATGGCATACGGAACCCTTGAAATTACGAATTAAGTCGACTATATATGTACCTTGAAGATCCCATGGCTCAATTTTGTAAAGATCCACGTCTCTGATGACGTCTAATTCAATTGTCCTGGAGTTAATTTTTTTCCTAAGGTAGTAATCCACGAGTTCTTCGTCGGTGGGATGAAACCGAAAGCCAGGGGGAACATGCGAAAAAGTATTCATGTTTTTCCGGTTTCTTTATGTATACAACTTGAGACCTGCATTTCAATCATCTTCTTGATCAGTCTACATGTTTCATGACTATCAAGACATAAATTATGAAGTACGCGTATATTAAACCGAGATCTATGTTATAGAGAGAATCGCACTTTCACTACGCTCGTTTTATATATTCGGTCATTGCGGTTTGAAAATCATTACTAAAAACCATTAATTCAACCGTTATAAAAATGATTCAATCTAGCAATGAGCAAGAAAGGTACAATATCAGCATTCTAAATTCTATTGCTCTCATTAACTGTGATACCACCGAGACAACTTTATATTGAACTGAAGTAACATTTAAGCAATAAGTACCCTGGTGATTCAGTGGGCAATCCATACATAGAACGAGATTTAAAATCAGTACCTCAAAGTCATCCTAACAAGCCCTAAATCAGTTGAACAAATGAACAAGATTATCGCCGTCTTTTGCTATCCTCATCGACCAACATTACATTAAATTATCTTTGTGAGGTAGTATAACTAATCTCCAAAGATTACATGACAGAAGCATGTATATCAACTATCAAGATCGAAGCTTAAATTAACGTGGTAAAACAAATATGCCACATAAAAGAAACCAGATAATGATCATACACTTTCTCGATAGACATACATAGTTAAATTTCAACTACCAAACTCTATCGATCACCTTTTCCCATTCCACATATATATACAGAAACTGTGTTCGTCATAACGAACAGCATGGCAATAAAAGTAAAAGCTAAAGCTCATGTGATAATTAGGTTGCATGTCATGATAAAAAAAATGTCGTATAGTTATCTACAAATTACTCAAAAGAGTATATTTTTGCTTATCATATGAAGATATATATACTCATGAAGTGTGATCATATATTATACTTAAATTCAAGAACTAGCTAGAGCTAGAGAGATAAGGTGGGAAACTTACACAGCAAGATCCAAATGGATGTGGGCGAACTTAAGATAAATTGCTCTTTTTGGAATGACGAGTCTAGTTCCTCCAAGAATATGATAACTACTGATCAAAGGCTAAGCGAAACTATGTTTTTCAAAACTTACAGAACTTATAGATCCAAGAAAGTACAAGAGACTTAATTAAAAAAGAGTTTTTTCTGTTCTCCGGGGGATTTGAACCATTTCTGTTGCCTAAATGGCTCGTTCCCCGAAGCAAAAAGTTTGTTTGGATGGGAAGATGCTAAAAGTGGAAAGGTCAAGATGATGAATTAGGGTTATATAAGAGGAGCCAGGTTGAGGGTGGAGAAGAAGGGGATTGTATAGAGAGAGAAAATAGACAAAGAAACCCCAATGATGAGAGATGATGACATATGAGTGAGTAAAGGCTAGAGAGAGATGTTTGTTGTAGGCTATCTTTGTCTTTCACTGTCTGATGGGGCTAAATTGGTGGCCAAGATTTTTTGCTCTAAATACGAGTGGTGATTAACACCAACCCACCAGCAACGGATCGAGACTTAAACTCATTCACTTGCTTTGCAAAACTGTGTAACTAATTAGCTATCGATCTAAAAATTAGTTAATATTTATTGGTTCAAAGGTTTTCAAAGATATCCACAATGCATTGAATTTAATACAGGTGAATGATTGTCACGTCATTTTCTATAATTTATAAAACTTTATAATTTTTTTACTATAATATATTGAACTCTACAAAGTTCAATAGAATATTATAAAATGTAATTTATAGTAAATATCTAAAAATTAAAAACTTTTCTTTTTTCTATTGAAGAGTTCAATGACCATTGAACTCCAAATTCATTGAATGTCAATGTGGCATCTCATAATGGAAGCGTTTCATCCATTGAATGACGCATAGACTTGTCACCTCATTCAACTCTCTCATTAAATTCACCATTGTAGATCCTTTAACTATCTACAATAATTATTGATTTAAAAATGTGTTATTTACTAAAATGACGATCGACCTAGTTTTTGTGCCCGTGGATCATCAGTTGAAGAATATATTAGCAAGTCGGGTTAATAATCAATAATATTTAATTTTTTTTAATGCATTTGTAAAGATCCGTTTAAAGAGACGTTTTATAAATCCAACGATCAAATTAATTATATTACATAAAAACCTCACACGATAAGACAACTAAATCTTATAAATAATAATCTCAAATAAAAGAAACAAAAATCTATCCACCGATAGGATCGACTCGTTTTTCTTTTGAACAACAAGAATTCGATTAACACTACCGAGAGGCTAGGAAAACGTAACCATTACATCCACATATCCCATTTTGACCTGATCATTAGCAATAGTCATTTTGTCGAACATTTTGAGATATAATAAATGTAATTATGAGTAACAAACCTTTAATATATTTTATTAATACATAATTACATATATTAGGTCTTAATACAACTATGTTTGTAATTAACTGATCGACAAACTTGACCCAAAATTACCAATTGTTACAGTTGGATCTTAGAATTCACATGGATTGAAATATACTCCCAAGACTGGGCTCCTTGTTATGTATGGTATGTAGTATTTTGGGGAACTCACTAAGCTTTGTGCTTACGGTTTTATGTTTAAATGTTTCAGGTACTTCTGGTTCCAAAAGGAAATGTCCGACTTGATCACACTGCATCCCCTTGAGTTTTCCATACTATCTATTTTAGAACTTTACTCTGATGTTTTGAGAATACGTTATACTCTGATTATATTTTGGAATGATTGAATGAATGGTTTTGGTTGATGGAAAAATAAAATTTTTACTTTGTATTTTTGGGACGTTACAAGTCGGCATTTCGAGATACATAAATGGAAATAAGTTGCCTTCACAAATAACATGTTAGCCATATGAAATCCTTAGTGTGGTTCACCCCAATACCATATAACTTTCTTTTTCTAATGTTCGCTTTGAGGCTGCAGGAGAGATGGTAGTAAGTTAAGATTCACATGAGAAAATTGCGTAGTCCGCGTATTGAAAAAACGGCAAGGTTTGGACCATCTCTAGGAAGTTTTACACCCTTAAAAACACCTTTCTCCATGGCTACCCGGAGTCCTTCAACAACTATAATGAAGAGAAAATACGATATAAGGTCCCTTCACCAAATCCCTTTTCTCTATATGGAACTCTTTCGTGGGCGACCCGTTGACCAGTATGGAGAATTTAGTGGTTGAGATAATAGCCTAAATCCAAGTTCTCCACGTTTCCCCAAAACTTGTTTTATGCATAACGTCATCCAAATAATTCTAATTTAGATAATCGAAGGCTTTATCGAAATCAACCTTAAAAAGTAACATCTTCTTCTTTAACCGTTTAGCCCACGATATGAATTCATTAACAATAAGAGGACAATCCATTATGTTCCTTCCTTTAATGAAAGTTGTTTAATACTTATTGACAACCTTTCCCATCACATATTACACCCGCTCAACAAGTGTTTTGGAAATTATCTTAGTGATACATCCTATAAGATTTCTAGGTCTAAAATCTAAGAGACAAAGAGGGTTCTTGGATTTAGGGACACGAGTGATTAAAGAGCTATTACAACATTTTTTATATTCTTGTGGGTGCCAATGAACTAAACTGCATCAATTACATCCGACCCGATCTTGTCCCACTGATCGAATTGTTTTTAACACACGAATACACCTCTCTCTCTCTCTCTCAAGTTGGAACATTAAAATGCCCAACTTGTGAGCAATGTTCACATCTTGATTCTGAAAGATCTAGTATGATCAATAGTCATATTAAAATGATATTACTAATTAATATATGATCGTAAATGGTCACACTAACAACAACTTGATACAATTGATTATTTATTAGAAATTGATTTTAATAAATATTCAATAAACTCTTATAATTAATTGGAAATTATTTATTTCATGCAAATATTAATTTTCATTAGCAGGTAACATAATATATATATCATATGATATGATTTATTAAGTCATGTACATTATTTTAGACTAGTAAGACTTTTGTCTTTTAGCCAAAAGCCAAAGTTTATATTTTATAAAAAAAGTTTAAAAAGTTTATAAACTTTGTCTTCTTTTATATCTTTATAAGAATGAATAAAAGAAGCATGACCTTTTGATTATTTTAAGTAGAAAAAAGCAAGGCTTCAAGGTATGGGGAACATTAAGGACATGTAGGTCTTAAAAGTGTTAAGACCTTAAGGGTATTACCTTTGCTTTAATACCATAACATGGGGCTTTCATTTTGGAATGCTTTAGACATGAAAATACCATAGCTCCTCTATATCTCTCTTATTCTTCTCTTTCAAAGTGTTAGAGGTTATTTGTTACTTGTATTTTTGCTCTCTTTAAGTCATATTTTGTTATGCACTTAAAGCTTAAGAGCTTAAGAGTTTAAAGACTAGCATCATCATCAAGTTTGATTGTTGTTGGTGTCCATAAAGGAAAGAGTTCTACTCATATTCTTCATCAACTTCCTAACCTCCCATTGAGGATTCAAAAGGCTACAAAGGTTGTTATATTATTCTTCTTCTTCTTTGGTTGTTGTTTTCTTTCCATTTTAATATATTCATTTTAAAGTCTTCCATTTGCTAAATTTTATAGTTTTGTGAAAGTAATTTTGAATATAAACCCAAAAATTGGTATCAAGAGCCACCTTTGAAGTTTGATTAGATTTTATGATTTTTGGAAATCTTAGTTTTTAGATAATATGAATAACTTGTTTTTGTATAAAAATAAGTTCGTACATATTTTCTTCGACAACTTTTAATTGTTATTTTATGTGACAAAAACTTACATGTATTTTTTGTCACTTAAAGTTGTCTTAGAAAACTAAAGGTTATTTTATGTTTATATGTATATTTGAGTGTATAAACAAGTCGTGGACCTTTTGTGTTGTTGTTTGTGTGATTTGGTTGAAATTGGTTTGTAATATTCTTTTATTCATAAAATATGTAATAAAAGTAGCTAGTTTGTATTCTTGTTATTTTTATGTAATAGATTAGTTTTAGACTAGATTTATT